CTAAACGGGTTTGAATTTTGAAGCCAAAAGCTATAAATAAGGGAGTTAAATTAGGAACAATATTAGTTAGAAAAACTAATATCTCGTATATAAATAGAATGATATGCTGTAATTGATAATATAATTATTAAATTTAAAGATTCTATAATTATTAAAGATTCTATAATTAAATGTAATTGTGTTTGAATTTTATTTAAAAAAGATGATGTCAGCAATCTAATCGAATGGTGGAAAACATAGGATTGAAATGCAATCAAGGGTCCTGATTGTTTCATTGGTGAATTAAAGGTTCTTTTTTAATAATATTTAGAGATATCATCCGATTTCAACACTAATTACACCGTTATAAATAATCATGTTCAAGTCTAAGTTTTTCATAATTTATTTTAATTCAAAATATCAATAAAAAATATCAACGAAAAATGAAATTCGACCAATTAATTATTTATACGTATAAAATACCAAATTACTATAAGAAACTAGTAAAACAATTTCAGGTCAACAATCCTAGGGAAAATGACTTGAGAGGGTAAGTTACTTTTTGAAATGTACACATTTAGTCCTTAATTCTTTTTTTTTTTGTAAAATAAGCCCTTATATTCGGATTTTTGTAATTATGCAATCCTTTTGACCTGGTATACCCGGTATACCGGTCATATAAGATTTTGATTTTATTTTCTTGAAATTAAATAACCAGGTGTCATCATACGTGGATATTGTTAAATTACACCACATTGAAACGACAATTAGGGCTCATTTAATAAGCCATTCCTCCATTCACTCAGCCGATAATCCCTCAAACTTCTTGATTCACAATTACCATCAACAATGGCAGAAGATGCAGATACAATCGTTGATGTACACTATCAAGGGTTGTTCACACCTACCCCATTGATGTATTTTGATGGAGTAAAAGCCTCGGTACCTTACACGGTTGTGAAGAAGATGAACTTCCATGATTTCATCCCCTTTCTTGAAAAGCTTACTAACGGAAGATGCAGAGATGTGTATTACTGTCCACATGAAGTGAGGTTGTCGGAGGGATTACATGCTATTCAGAATGACTGCGATTTTAACGAGTTTCTTGAAGATATGAATGAAAAGAAGAGATTCGATGTGTATGTGGATCATCATCATGAACCTTTGTTTGATTGGATTCAAGAGGAAGAAGCAGACCTTGAAGATGAAGATTTGGTTTCTATTGATGATGTCGACTCCATTTTAGAAGATGGTCTGAAAGTTGAACATGTAGAGGACGATGAAGTTATATCTCTCAAAAGAAATTTCAATGATCCATTCCTCAACAAACTTTGTCCAATACAGAATGATGACTTGGTTGAAGAAGATCATAATGCAATACGACCTATCTTCCCAAGACATGATCATACTCAAGAATGGAATCAAATGAAGTCTCGATTAGGTATGAAATACTCTACTACTGCTGAACTTAAATACTCTCTTAGTTGCTATGTTGTAGCAAATGGTTATGATCTGTGGTATGAAAAGAATGACAAGACTAGGTTGCTAGTTAGGTGTTGTAAAGGAAAGAATCCCACATGCCCTTTTAGATTGTATGCTTCCTGGATGAAAGAGGAACACACTTTTCATATTAAGTCTCTTATAACAGAGCACAAGTGTTATAGGGCATTCAAACTTGGTTCAATTGTAACATATAAGTGGATAGGAAAACAATTTGTGAATGATGTTTTGGAGAGTCCTAACTAAGTTCGAGGAAAATGAAAGCCCTAGTATCTAAGAGATACAACATTAATGTAAGTGTTGGGCAGTGTAGGAATGCAAAAAAGTTAGCATTGTCTGAAGTTGAGGGAAGTTTGAAAGAACATTATGCCAAACTGTGGGATTATGCAGCTGAAATCAGAAGGGCTAATACAGGTTCACATGTTGAGGTGTTCTTGGAGCCACAACCTGATAATACTGTGGTGTTTGATAGGTTTTATGTTAGCTTTAAAGGTGTTGTAGATGGGTGGTTAGATGGATGCAGAAAGGTAATTAGGGTTGATGGTTGCTTTCTTAAGGGTGTTTGTAGAGGGGAGCTCCTATCAGCAGTGGGTAGAATGCTAATAATAACATCTATCCCTTAGCTTGGGCAGTAGTCAATGTTGAGAACAAAAGGACATGGAAATGGTTTTTGGACAACCTGATGGAAGACATTGGAGGGGGGAATGGTCATGGCATTACAATCCTCTCAGATGGCCACAAGGTAATCATTCTATTTTTTTCAATTAAATTTAACTGTTTTGATCATTTAATTAACTAATCATTTTATTGTTTCAATCAGGGATTATTTGAAGCTGTGAAGGAAAGACTTCCTGATGTGGAGCATAAATTATGTGCTAGACACATTCTAGCTAATTTCCACAAAAAAATTAAAGGAGAACAATACTTTAAACCATTTTGGAGGGCTGTGAATGCAACAACTGTACCAAAGTTTGAAGCAGCAATGAATGAGATTAAGTCCTTGGAAAGTAGGGCTTATGACTATCTCATAGACAGGGATCCAAGGTGTTGGTCAAAGGCCTTTTTTAGAGAGGGTATGGACTGTGATGCAATAGAGAATGGAGTTTCTGAAAGTTTCAATTCTGCTGTACTTGATGCTAGAAGGAAACCATTGATAACAATGTTGGAGGACATAAGATGTTGGACAATGCAGAGGTTATGGATGCAGAAGCAAAATGATTTGAGTTGGGATTTGGACATATGCCCAAGTATCAGAAGGGAAATAGAGGATTTGAAAGAATTGCAAAGGTTAGTAACTATTTCATTATTTATACATTGGTTTTATAATGGTAACTGACTATCTTCTTGTATATTGACAGATTTTGGGTACCTTATGTGAGTGGCTACAAAGAATTTGAAGTGTTCTCAGGAAATGAGAGGTATGCTATTGATCTGAATCAGAGGGCATGTGGATGCAGAAGCTGGCAACTCACAGGCATTCCATGTGTACATGTCATATCAGCAATTTCATCATTGAACCTAGATGTGGAGGCTTTTGTATCAAACTCATATACTAAAGCCTCGTTCCTTAGTAGCTATGAGTATAACATCCATCCACTCAATGTCAGTTCTGAGTGGCCACATGTTGAAGCACTTCATACTATTTTGCCTCCATTAAAGAGGAGGTTACCTGGCAGGCCATGTGTCAAAAGAAAAAGAGATCAGGCAGAAAGAGAGTTAAGTGGGCACACAAGGCATACTGTGTCAAGGGCAGGCATTCCTCTAAGATGTACCATTTGCCACCAAACTGGCCACAACAAAGCCACATGCCCAAGTAAGCCAACTCCAGCTCCAAGCACAGCAAGTCCAAGTCATTCCACTCCAGATTCAAGCACAGCAGGTCCAAGTCATTCAACTCCAGCTCCTGTCAAGAGAACTCTTGTGAAGAAAGCTCATGTAAAGAAGGCTCCTATGAAGAAGGGTCCTGTGAAGAGAGGTCCTATGAAGAAGGTTCCTTTGAATGATGTTGGTAGGGTGAGAAAGTTTTCAGAAAGAATCACAGAAATTGGTCTTTAGAAAAATGTTAAAGTCAATGATGGAATTGGATGCAGCCAAGACAAACCTGTGACCTTAGAGTAATTAGGTTTTGATGTAGTGGGGTAATGCATGTGATATATATTTTGATGTAGTGTAGGGTAATCTTTTGAACTTAATTACTATATTACCCCTACGAGTTGTTTACTTTTGATGTACTTGTCGAATCTTTTGAACTAAATTACTGTATTACCCCTACTGGTGGGCTTATCTTTTGTAATTATTAAATGGCTTGATGCCTTTTGTCATCCACTTTTATTTGTCTTTACATCCAATTGTCTTTATAAGAATCTTTCCTGTAATTTGTCTTGGTTTTACCTCCATTTGACTGACTTAATTACATCAACATCCATATATAATAGCAATAAACTTTACCATTACATAAACATAAAGTACATCAACATCCATTACATAAACAAGAATTACACAACAAGTCTATTACATCAAAATCCCCTAAAACCACCAGAAGCATATCTTCAACCCCAAAACATAACCTTAACAATGACCAGCAGAATCAGTATCCGAATCATAACCTTCAACTGTTTCACTTCTTCTCTAACAGATGTCACATCCTCTAAAACTTGTTTAAGACAATCTGCAAAATCTGAAAGAGTATCTTCTGTAATGGGCTTCATATTCTCAGGTTCTTCATCAATCCATTCCCAAAATTTACGCTTTTTCCCTGGTTTCTGTAGTAATAAAATCAACAACATAGAAGGTAAGAAGAAGATAATTGATGCGATTTGACAAATAAAATCAATTTAGGTATTTACCAATGAGTTAGGGTACACTCGGAATTTCTTTTCAGGGTTATCTTTGGTCTTGGAGGTACGAATTCTTGAAGGGAGTTCACAATCACAGAGGACTTCCTTATCTACTCTCTGATTGCTTGAACCTATGGAGATTCTTGAGCCACTTGACATCTTCTTTCTTCTTCTACGAATTCCCCACTTCTCTTATCTAATATGTGTTCGACTTTGAAGGTGGTTCTTCCTGATTTTGGATGTTAACATTCGTTTATAAGGAGTGACTAAGCTAATTAATTTTCATGCAGTTGTTGTTAGTGCCACGTGTGCTTCCACATCAGCAAAACCCACAGAAGCCGGTCAAAAGGATCTATTGTGTACATATTAATAAAGTATAAGGGCTTATTTTACAAAAAAAAAATAAGGACTAAATATGTACATTTCAAATAGTAACTTACCCTCTCAAGTCATTTTCCCACAATCCTACAACAATATTTTAATTAGGGTCCATTATCTTTGTATTTGATAACTTTCCATAATGTAACGAGATTTCGAATTTTGGATCACTAAAAAGGTATTAATGGGCCGATTTGGATTTGAATATTTGGGCTTTCCCAAACTCCAATCCAGCTCATGATTGGGTTTTACCCTAAGGGCTGAAATCAAACAGGTATATACATATATATATATATATACATATTGCGCCTCTTTATCGAAACCCTTTAGGTTTTTGCTGCGCAGCTCTATTCTTTGACATCCAAGACTTCTTGATTCACATACATCTCGAAAGAAGATGGTAAGATTTTTGTTTGATGATTATATCCTTTTATTTTGTTGTTGGATGCAAAATGTATAGTTGATTATGTCGATTCACGTCGATTATGACACTGTTAATGGAATGATACGTCGGATGTATTGAAAATATACAGGTTTTGCCAAACGATGTTGATCTCCTTAATCCCCCAGCTGAGTTGGAGAAGAGGAAGCATAAGCTCAAACGACTTGTTCAATCTCCAAACTCTTTCTTCATGGTATACTTGTCTTTCATTTCGTTCTGTATAGTTTCGCTTCATCAGTTTCTTGTTTTTCTCTTTCCTATAAAAGCAACACCCTATTTGCTTTGGAACTTTGGTATAATTTGGTTTAATTTTTCTCCTTGCAGGATGTCAAGTGCCAGGGTTGTTTCAACATGTGAGTTTTGATATCCTATTTGCTTCAGTTCGTCTTTTCATTATCATTCAATAACATCTTGAACTGATTTGATGTATATGTGAATTGTGATCAGAACAACCGTATTCAGCCACTCTCAAACGGTGGTGGTGTGCGGAAACTGTCAGACGGTGTTGTGCCAGCCGACTGGTGGTCGTGCAAGACTCACTGAAGGATGCTCTTTTAGAAAAAAGGGAGACTGATCCAATTGCTTGCTTTTATGGCTGGTTAATCAGAAGCTGCTTCGGTGCTATTACTTAAAAAGTTACAAGTTGAGTCTTTTATTCTAGTTTTTCTTGTTGGACCCCAAACATGTTAGTTTGTTAACATTATTTTCGTAATGGTTTTGGATTATTGGATTTTGGATACACTACCCTATCTATGAATGCATGATTTGTTCCTATAGTGTCTGTCTGTTGTTGTTTTGTTGCTTACCAAACCAAGTTTTTGTCTTCTGAAAGGCATTTCATTCTATCTCTTTATATGTTGTCCTGGTTTGAACTAGTTAAAATATACATAAATTTAGCAACCAGTTCATTGTTATTGAAACATCTTGCCATGGCCTTTTGTTCTTTTGTTCTTTCCATTGAGCTTAATTTAAGGTTTGTGGTTAATATCATCAGTTAAGAGAGCTGTATTTTAGTTTAATTCCTGTTGTTTGGTTATATTAGTAAAACATACCTAATTGGAATGTTTATGCATAATCAGTTTGGAGTATAAATAAGTGTGTATATACCTAAGTGGTATATGTATGTATGTATATATGTGTGTGTGTGTATATATATATATATATATATATATATATATATATATATATATATATATATATATCCTTAAAGCAAAAATATATTTCATTACGCACCTTTATGATTCAAACTAATATAATAAAATATTTATGATTGTGTCTACAGCTTCACTTTTCTGTTCAAAACCTATTTGTTGAAAAAATTCAAATGTATCGAGTTGGATTATGATTACAGCATTTCTTATAGTTTTCTAGTAAGGTGCTGTTTGGTACTAGGTAGGATCATGATCAAGTTTTTAATCAGAAAAGGCATGAATCATATGTAGCCTCTAAATTTTTTTTCCTCTAAAATGGTTAGACATTTGTATGGATGTGCTGAATTATAGAAATGAACATTTTATATTTCTATTCAACACCTTGTACAAGTGACAATGTAAGCACATTATTTTGGCTAAATTGCAAAAATGAGGCAAATCACTTTATGCTTTAATATATTTTTATAAGAGTTTTACTTTTATGATTTGGTGAAAAAAAATTGATTTAAACCTCAGTTTTTGTTTTTATGAATACCCAAGGAAAAATGTTCTCTTAACATTTATTTTTCTAGGTATCCTAAGTGAAAGATGTTTTTATCTGAATAAACATACCAATTTTTTAATAAATGATTTCAATGAATAAAAGTTGTTTGTAACTTAACAAGAAACTATTTGAACTTAGTTACGATGCAATCTTATTTAAAGAAAATGAGTTTTTGGTGAAAAATGGGATGCTTAAATTCGTCTATTGCTTCGGTCCTAGTAAACTGACTCTCCAACTTGAGCTTCAAATTAAATGTGGTCTTTGGGAAGGTGACCCATTTTCTCATTTCTTATTTATATTGACGATGGACAGATTGCATGTTATGATTAGAAAGACATTGATCATGAACTTTATCGTGGTGTTTGGTTTGGTCCTACGGTATAGAGATTTATTATTATTATTATTATTATTATTTTGTGCAGATGAAACAATTTTTCTTGGAGATTAATCAAAAGCAAATGCTAGAAATATAGTGGAGATTTGTGGTTATTTTTCTTGCTCTAGGCTTAAACATGTCTTACATAAAGAAATTGGAAGGTAAAGTATTGCTATGTATTTTATGAACATCTTTCGTGCAATTGGAAGGTAAAGTTACTCTCGTCAGGTGGTTGGCTCACTTGGATAAAATCCATCTTGACAAGTATTGCTATGTATTTTATGAACATCTTTCGTGCACCCGAAAATTAATTGATCGTCTTGAAGCCTAAAGAAATTGTTTCTTTGTTAGGAGAAAGAACTCACTTTGATAAAATGGAAAAAGATTATGGCTAGCATAGAGGATGATGATTTCGGAGTAAGAAGTCTTTATGTTTTACAACACTTTTATTCAAATGGTAGTAAGATGTTTTAAACAATAAAGATTTGCTATGGTTCCAGAGTTATGAGGATGGTAATCGGCATGGAAACATTCCCAACAATCAAACGCATGTGCCATATTAGATGGAGAACACTTATAAACAAATAAAAAAGTTGGTGGTAAATTGCAAGGAAAACCTCTAAAAGCCCTTTTAAGATTATAAAATCTTACTTTCAACCGAAAGATATGATGGTGGCTTGACATTTGACAAAGGGGTTTTATCACATGTGACTATGTGAATGAAGTTGGATAAAAAGAGCACGAGGGTAAAGTAAAAGAGTTCACTTGACGTATTAAGAAAGACATTATGTTTGTATCAAGTAAATTCTGTACCCATTAAGCCTATTAAGTCTAAAGAAAACAACATCCAAGAGCATGTTGTTTTAACACTGTATTTGAAAATAAAGTAAATTCTGTATTAAAGTTTGGGAAGCAAAAGCATAGAAGACTGTAGAGATGGATGGATAAAGAAGATTATTACAAATCCAACATCATCATTCATCAAGCAAGAAAGCAAAAAAGCATTAATTGAGGTTAGTGGTGGCTACTGTACAATAATTTCACCGCTCATTCCATCCCCATCCCAAATCAAATTCTCTATATACATACACAACTCAACTACTACCAACTACCAACTACCAACCAACCTTACTTAACTTAACTTAACCTCCTATTAAGTCAACTTAACTCAACTCAACTCGAGTCTTCTAGTAAAGTATAGTATTATAGTATAGTGAAGTGTGTCATTCAGTCTTGAGCTGCTGTTGAGCAGTTGATGCAGATGCAGATGGAGGTTTCCCATTTTGAAGATACAAGCTGTTTGCCACCAATGAGTCACTCACCAATCCAACATCCACCTCATCAAAGTTGAGTGTCCCTCTCACCTTCCGTGTCCTGAACACACACAAAAACATACATCACTTTATCTTTATTAGCATAATAAATAAATAAAACATACCCATGGCCATTCAAACGATTGTTGATGGCAGTGAGGTCCTTGGATGGGCTTTGGTAGGCATGAGTGCTCTCCCCAACACACGCATAATAACTTTTAGACCCATGAGATATCAAAGCATCCATCTGTACGTAGTAAATCTCAATACTTTTATTATCTATCATATCAAATGTTGATGCCATTTAACAACAACAAAACAAATAAATACCTTTGTTGAGCGCAATGGAGACACGTATACATTGTGTACTGCAGATACCTTCTTTGGAGACATATCTGGAAGACTAGGGAATGATGACACCACCTTTGGTGACCCAGGGCATGGACCTAAAATCAACATCATTTGGGCTCAATTTCTTTTTTATTTTAAAAAAAAAAAAAAAAATTCAATATTAATACCTACCTTCATCCTTCTTGTTGGCTTCTGAAACCTGGTTAGGGTTTTTAGCAACTCCAGAAGGAGCAAGCTCCACTAACAATGGCTTCACAGCTGGAATGAATATCTCATTGTAAAACATAATGATATCAACATGATCCTGCCCTGTTTTCTGTTCCAAAAAATAATCAATGTCAAACAAAAAACACCTACAAGTAGTAGAAACAGGTGTCATGCAATATACTTACCCCTCCACTTCGCCGAGAAGATGACCTGTCATCAACAAACACAGCACGAAACACTTGAGGTTTACAATGTGGTTGCTTTCTGTAGTTGAATATGATCTCTTTAAAAGTTAAACTCAATTGGGTGATCTGCATGCAAGTTACATATAATTAATCACATTCACATTGTAGCATCAGATCAAATCAAGATATGAAACAAATGTCTTATGTACCTTTGCAACTCCATAGAAACAACACAGGATGATTTGGTCAATATGTCGATTAAAAAACAGAGCTGTTCTCTGACTCAGAATCTGTTGAAAAAGACAGTATACTCTTTCTCTTATTTGTTGTGAAATCTGCAGCCTTTCAACCATTCCGTTGATTCTAACAGCAGCTAACTTCACAATCTGCTCACCCAAAACAAAACCATAAACATTTTTCTCATCATATCAAAACATAACTGCTTTGCAATTGCACCTCACCTTGCTAAAGAACAGATTAACAGCCGTTTCTGCACATGTTTCTCCTCTTGTTGGATTTGGCCTTGTTGGACTGCAAACAATCACAGGAATTTAAATAAAACATTTCCATGGTTATTGACTGATTGTCCTACCTGGCAAATGCAGACTGCAAAGCAGGAGACAGCATCTTTGACTTAAGATTATTAAGCCCCAACAAACGATCCTTAACAGGTGAAGTGAATGAATTCCTTTCAACCAAAACACTTCGATACTCATTGCAAACCCTCTTTGGTGACCTCAGTTCACCACTTTTCCCTAAATACACACACACACACACACAAACTCAAATGCATTAGCTTTATTGTCTTATTGGTGCCAATCGTCTTTAAATAGACAAATAACAGTTTACCAACCTGGTGACGTGTCACGTTTCTGCAACGAAGGTACAGGTGGCAACCCTCCACAGGACATGTTACATTGCAGTGCAATTGCATCCAAAGAAGGCATGGGGTCCGCCAACAACCCAAGACGATTGATCTCAGAAGAAAGTGAAGGCCTTGCAACTGTTAAAGAGTTATACATGGAAGACCCTTTCTCCCACACCATGCTTTCCAACAGTCTTTCTTCAAGAGAATTCAAATGTCGCCTCAATTCCCTAGGAAGAGATTCCTCATGTCTGATGAAGCTTTCAATAACCTTACTAAGATCAAAAGCAGTAATCCCAGTTCTTTCCAAAACAGCTGGAAACAACATTGTAACAGTTTTGTGAGTAGCAAGAACAAGCTCAGCTGAACACGCAAGCATACATCTGTGAAACCTTTCGTTTGTTAACAATGATGTTAGATTGTTGCCATGTAGGATTTGAGCTTCTGCTGTACACATTGCTTGTAAAACTCTATAGTATAACTTCAATGCTTCAAGTCTACGATGTTCAGCCCAAATATTATCCATCAGATTGCTACTTTGCATGTTTGACATTGACATTACACTTCGATCGCCAAGACCACTGCTGGGGAAAATAGCTTCTAGAATTATGCGGGCCCTTTTGATCACATCACTCGTGACATCCTTGTCACATGATTGCAAGAATCTAGTTAGATCTACTGAAGGAAAAGAAGAAAGTGGAGAAACAATGGTTCTGAGCCATTTTGCAGTTGTCATTGCTGTGCTAACAGGAGTAGATATCATCTTTGAGGGAGATCTGAAAGGTGAAAGTGGAC